TCAGTTTTGCTAGCATGAGTGCCAAGTGTGGTGATCCCTGGGGACATCACTGCATGACTGCACACAGACAGCTGGGAGGTTCAGACTTGGTCCTTACACCCCAGCTCCCCTGGACTCCAGTGAGGCAGGATCTGACCAGAGTGTATCAACTACTTTCCTCAGAGCAGCCTTTGTCCCTGCTGTTTGAGAAAGATTCTTTAAGAGGTGTGAGTCACAGGATATACTTATCTGCTGAATTACTTTGAATGACTTGGCCAACATCTCACATCAGCAAGCAGAGTATGCAATGTTACATTCTTGCTCAATGTGCTAAAAATCTCTCCCAATGACAAAAGATCAAAAAGTGAATTACAAGCATAAACTAACAAAGATCTCCTATAGAAAGCAGCTTATAAGGTGGACTAAGCAGAACTGATGAACATTTCTAACTGTGGATCTAGAATGCTTACAAAATATTTACTTACATATTTTTCAGTCTGCTAGAATAAGCAAGAACATACATGAAAAACAGTGAAAGCTATTCCTGGGGTAAACAAGTACCTTAGGCAAGTATACACATCAGGATGAAGAAAACATGTCAAACAAAATCCTGCTCTCACTGAAGAGAATAGCTTTATAAAAAGTTTATCACACGCTTTCTTTATATATTTAGAAGGTGCAGAGTTAAAAAATGTGGTAATGCCACAGATAAAAACAATCAATAGAATTAGCCTGAAAATTGTCTGCCAAGCCTACACTGTGAGAGTTGTTTCCTATAGCTTATACTACTCATTTGTCTATGCCAGTAAAAAATCCCAATATAAAATGTAGACAGAATTCTGCCACAGCACCATAGCAGTATATTTTATTGCACAATGTTCAAAGTAGGTAGTGTAGTATCCAGCCCTGTCAATGCCCAGCATTTTGTTTTCAAGGCATTAAGTTTTCATAGAGGCTTTGGTTTAGAAAATCAAGTAATGGCTCGCAAAGAATAATGTTTTGCTTGTCCGTGTAATATTAGATCGAACTAAACTTGAGCCTCTCAGATCAACCATGTGGATTTTTGAATAGCAAAATTGTAATTTGAAAACTAAGCATATACATGCACATACACAAACCCATCATCCTTGCTGCTGAAGTGAGAGGCAATGTCAATTTGACTCTTTTGTGTAGGCGAAAGTAGAGTGGAAGAGCCCATTTGTCTCATGGAAGTTCTGTAGAAGTTAATCCCAGCAGTGAGAACAAAGATGATCATAGGAGTTATGCTCAATTTTGAAGTTATAGGATTCACTGCTGATTGAGTCCCATGGGGACTCACAGTCCTACGGAAACGAAAACTCCGTATTTATTCAAATGAGAGGTGCTAAGGCACTTGCTTATGAACCTTCCTGTTGCTACTGGCCCCAATATTAATTATTGCTGTGGTTATCATTGCTTTTGAGTATGGCCTTATCAAACTCAGCAGTAGTTTTACTATTGCATTGTGTATGGATATGTATACATACATATACACTGGAACATCTACAATCGTAATTTTCATTTATCACCATTTCTGCTTATTTATTCACACAAAGTAGCTGAAGCTGAATGAAGAATTCTACCTTCACGTAACTTGCATAAGCTGCCCAGCCACTTAGTTCCAAGTTTATGTAAATATTCTTCCAACAGCTCCATGAAATTATTAAAAACAACAGTAACAAATATAAAGGCAAACATCTAAGTAAAAGTCATGTATATATTACTACATCTTTAGTCATTGTGACAGTATAGAAAGTATGTACTCACTCAAGACGAGAAAAAAATACTTCAGAGGATACTCTGCTATTTAGGAATAGTCTGAAATGTGTTTGCCTTTCATAGTGAAACTCATAAGGAAAGCAATTACTGAAAAATACTGCTATTTGTAAAGCATACTATTACTTGAAAGAGCTATAGCTTGACCCCTCTAATTACGCCTTTCGCTAAACTCAGAGAATATGGGGTGAAGGGTAGGCAGCAACAATGTAACTTGAAAATTGGGTTAAAACCTGGTACATAAAAGTCTCCAAGTACATTTTTTAACAAGATGCTCTTGATGTTTCAGTAAAGTGTCAACATGCCAGAAGTACTCTGGGCTGTGTCTTTCCAAGAAGGGAGCAACCTGGTCTAGTGGAAGGTGTCAGTGCTCATGACAGCAGGGTTGGAACCAGCTGATCTTTAAGGTCCCTTCCAATCCACACCCTTCTATGGTTCTAAGATTACTAGCAGTAAATGGCTCTGGAAACAGATTTTATATTCCAGGTTTAAGAACTGTTTTCCAAAAACTGAAGCATAGCATTATCATTTCAAAACTGCACTAACAGTGGGTTTTTAGAAGAACATATAATAAAATCTATTTTCTATCCTTATAAAATAGGGATAAATCCTCTCTGTTGTCTTTTTTTTTGGCAAGACCTTTAAATTTTAGGATTGAGGTGGGACAGAAGAATGACATAGAACTGCCTCTCATACTCCTAGTTTAGCTTTTCCCACCTGCTTGCCTTCTGTGCATGGAAAGATGCAAAGGAGGCAGTGTGATCTTGCACAGCTCATGGGATCCATTGGAGCCTCTTTGTGGCATTTCCCTTACCTCCAGATGGGAATTAATTGAAGACACTTTCAAGGGGCTGTTTCAGGCACTAATTTTAGCAGCCCTTTCTTACTTTATAAGACACATCTTCAAAATCAGGTTTGGGATCTTTAAAGCAAATAAATAAAACCCTTTTTAATTAAAATATGTATACAAAATCGCAGTCTTCAGTTGGAAGCCTAGTAGGAGTGAATGCTTTATATAACACAGATAACTCAGTCTTGAAACATCAACATTTGTTGAAAATTATGACAAATTACATGTGAACTGCTTTTCTATGCCTACAGCATGTAATAATGGTCCTCTCCTGTTGAGTGGGAATTGCAAGTGTAATGCAAGGAAGGACTTTGGGCAAATGCTACAGTCATTCATGGGAAAACTTCAGGAAATCAAATGCTTTTCTTTTATGTATAAAGAATTTTCTTATCACTGAGGCAAGTAAAGCGCTGAGCTGTCTACAGAGGTAGCTAAATTTTCATTAGCAATAAGAAATGTACAAAGAAGACTGACAGAAGAGTAAGTGCAGTGGGTGATGCCATTTGGATGAAGGATTTAGCTTTTATGACCTTTCCCATCTTTTATCATCACTGCTGCTTTAATACATGGACATATGTAATGAGCTGTAATAAACATTTTTAATGACTGCCAAATCAATTATAGTATTATATTCAGTAATTATATTTATCAGCCTACCAAGCCAAAGAGTATGTATCAGAACTAACTGCATGTGATGCGGCAAGAGAAAACAAGGAAAGCACATCATATGCCCTAACAATAAGGACTAGGGGAAAACCTCATGACACACGAAACCTGCAGGGGAGTTAGAGCTATAATTCCCAGAATTTTTGTATTGTATTTTACTATGTTCCATTTTGTTGCCACTAGTTTGCAAAAACATACTTTAAAAATTTATTTCATTCAAAGAGTATTAATTCAATAAATGTTATGTTAAAGCACTAAATAACTCAAACAAATATCATCAAAGTGATATTCACTACTTTAAGGAAATCGATAAAGAAAAAGATGCATTAGAAATATTACAGTTATTTTAGGATACAAGTAGTTGACCCCTACTAAATGCAAGTAGGAATCAATTAAGAATCTTTGTGAGGAAGTTGTTACCATGTCAAGTTCCTGTATACCCAGATATTAGACGTAGATATGCTTGCCAAACTTCTTCTTTGGGGAGAGAGGAAGGACAGCATTCAAGGCAGAAAACAGAACCATTTTAGGGCAATTTCACCATTGATCTATTTGAAGCCGCCCTGAAGTTTAGAGTATTAGGAATATTACAAGCAAAAAAATTCAGAAAGATCAACAGTAGGCATAGATTGAATGAGATTTGTCACCTAGGTGCCCTTACTGAATACAATTCTCTGTTATGTCTCACACAGGTGTATAGTATTCTCTATTATCTACAGAAACTGTTGCTAGGGAGAATGTTCCAAGTTAAGCCCACAGCTAAGTCACTTGTTTAATTTTATTCTAAGTACCTGATAGAATATAAATTCCTAAGATAATTTAGACCTGATGGATCTCTCACAGCAAATTTGTGTCATTGTATGGCAGTTAAAATGAAAATATTTAATAAATAATAACCTTTGGTGCTGTGAAACAGGTTTGAGTAGCCTCTAGGAATATCATGCAGAGCAACTGCTGCTGATACCATTTTGCTGGTGACTATATAACTAACTGCATCAAATGATAACTGAAATAATCTATATGTATTTTAAAGTACCATTATTTGTGCAAGGTTTCATGTAAAGATATTGTCTACATCTATCAGCCAAAGAGGCTGACACCACTGAAACACACTCTGTTAAAAAGGCATAGTACATTCACATAAAAATGCTGAACCTTTCACATTGCAAGCCTCTTGAGACTCAATTTGTTTGCTATCACAGCAAACTCTCTGTTGTACTGCATCTTTAGTAGTGATGCAATTAATATATACCTAAAGTATTTGCCATTTCTGGGTTCTTTCTCTGCTTTGGAAACATCAACAATCAGTTGAAGTAAAGAAGCACTGGTTTAAACTGACATTTTTTAGGCAGTATTACTGAACAGATATTGGACCTACTACGTTTATCAACCTGTCACATCATCATTGTAACTGTGATCAGGACAATTACAGTCCAGAGATACGGTTATACTGTTGGCAAGAAAGTTACATCACTTCATTTAGCAGTAATGAAAACTACAGTAAATCTATCCTTGAGTGACAAGATGATTTGGGACAAGATTTGCACTCTTCATTGAAACTTCATTCAGGGAAAGAAGAAACTTCATAAACTCTTCAAGGAAATTTCCTGTCTGTGTGGACAAACAGGTTTGCTCTATGTAAAATCTTAGAAAAATACATTTATATTAAATAAGAAACCATATCTCAATAATACTAAGCAGACGTTAAAGGTCTTTTGCCTTTTTTAAGAAGATTTTTTATGTATGATTGAAGTTTATACAACACTCCAGAAAAGCCATCATGTGTTAGATTGAAAAATAAAATCAGAAGCATTTTCTGTCATATAAGTATACATGAAAAAACGAGAACGTTAATGTCTTAGAAAGTGTATGTCCAGCTTTGTACGTTACTCATTTAACAAAGCAGAAAATAAGATACTGTACTGTAAACAAAAAGCTACAGTAAAAGGACATATTGAAATTTACACAAGTTTGAATTCATAAACATTTTGGTTGCTCCATAACAGTTGTCATATAAAATGAATAAAAAACCCTTGGACAGCTTTCATCACTCTTGACTACTTTTCACTTAAATGCACACAGACATACTTTATATAGCAATATACTGATGTACTGTTAACATGGATATTAAACTATGATTACTGCTTTTTTAAACTGAGATGTGTATTTTCCAATCAATAGTATCTGAATTGAAATACTGATACATTATGTATTCCCATCATGTTGTTAAGTATAAAAACATGAAAATATAACTTTACATTATTTCAGTTATATACATCGGTTCAGGCTTGACAAAGATTTTTTTTTTTACGCTACAATTTTTAGAGGAATAAGCCCAGAGGTACAATAAATAGCTTTCCACTGTATACAGTAATGCATGTCTACTTGTAAAAAAGTTTACATTACCATATGAGTATTATTTTAGTTTGGTCATCCTAGCACTGAACATTAAAAATCCAAATGCATTCCCCAACATTCCCGGAGGAGTAATGCACAGAACACCTATGGATTACAGATGTGTCAAGAAATGGTTTACTTTAATTAGGGGCGAATATTGGTAAGTTTGACATTGAAAACACTGTATATACACCTCTTTTGCTGACCACACTGAGAGTATACACTGTGTTCACATGTTTGCAGAAACAGGCTCAGAGTTTGTACCACAAGAAGGGATTTCAAGTTTCTGATCAATGCTCTGCGCTCTCCAATGCTCAGTAAACATTATACTTCAGTCTAAGAAATGGATTCCAACTAAAACTGCAAGTCATATTTCAAATTTTATTTAAGTCCAAAATAAAAGAGAGATTTACCGATGCTGCATGAGGCAATGTATCCACAATGCAGAAATATGTAAGCTTTTCAACCAAACATATAGAATTTTATCTACAGGGAAAGCTAGAGAAACATGATGTTGCTTTGATTTGCATCAGCATTTAAACTAATGTTATTGCACCCCTCCTAGGATTCCTTTTCACTTTTTAAGTAGTTATTGTTTTTAAATACACATAATTAAAATGTATGGTAACTTCAGATAGCAAAGAATATTCATAGTGATTAAGATTCAGGAAAGTTTTCATCCGTACAGACTTGTATCTAATTCAAGTTATCAGTCTTAATGGAAAAAGACATTGCCAAGGTTTTGGGTTTTTGTTGTTTTTGGTTTTTTTTTTTCATAACAAAGAACTTCACTAGCTACTGCTTAGAATTACCTTTTGACAGTTTGAAAACTGCTTCCTTAAAGAAATGATTTGACAACTGCATTTATTTCATACTTAAAAAAATACTTAACACTGCTTTACTGCTTGCCATTTATCAATTTTCACTGATATTCTTCTCTCTCTGTACACTTATTTATGAACTTAACTGTACAAAAGTAGAGATAGATATCAACCAAATCTTTGGATCATTAAGTCCCTGCATGTCAGAATTAAGAGGAGCTCTAAATCGGCGCCTATCTGACTCCTCATGCACCAGTATCAAGTACCACTCCAACCCAGAACAACCTTGATCTTCAGAGTTCAACATGCATATCTGAGCAACACAGCTTGGGCTTGTCTGTAGAAAAACCTGTTGAACAGATTCGAGTGAGCTGGGGATGGCGACACTGCCAAAAATTGAAACATTGACCCAACCTTGACAGTGTCCTTTTAGATTTCAGACTATTTATAACCCAACTGTAACTAGTAAAATTAATGGAACACTTGCAAATAAAACCATAGAAAAAAGTTTATTTCAAATGTCAAGCATTGCCAAGTAAATTTTATATTAACACCAAATGTTAAAGAATAGGATATACAGCAAAGTTTTAATAACAATATTAACCAATATTAAATTACAAGATTTGAACCTTTTAATTATTATTTCTTCTCTTCTCAACATTACATATTTGGCTTTGAAAAATATGGAACTGATGCCTTAAGCCTTATTTTCATATTCCACTTCCCCGCAGTCTAGATTTCTTTTTCTTTTTTTCGTCATATCCAACCATTATGGAAGCAAATTTATTTAAAAGCCAGTTTTCGTTTGTGAAAATACCTAAAAATATTTTTTTCATTTTATATGGTTTTTTTCTTATAAAACATGTCACATCTTGATGCAATTGATGTCAAGTGTGCTTAAGTCAATATGAACCAAGGGACTAACAACAGTGGCTGCAGAAACTGGTGTGTTGCCTGTACAACGACTTCAGTTAGATTACAGTACTTCCATGTTAGCTGTGCATGTCAGTCAAGCTTCATCTTGAACTTGTGTAGAAAATGGTGTTGTGTTTTGAACTAAGCATTCATTACAATCCAAGATGAACTCCACAAATACAAGAATTCTTGGCTGAAAGAAAAGTCTTCAAGATACTGGATGCCTCTCACCACTTTGACAATAAACGCACAAGAAAACCATTGTGTAAGGCACTCAAAAGGTTCTTATCAATCACGAGAGATCAGTCACACTGACATTCATTCCCATGCCAGGACTCACGTAAGGTACTGCATGCACTGCTTTTGGAAATTCTGGAGTCATAACACGTCCATTTTCTCCAGTACTTCCTGTAATTGACAGCCTTGCCTTGCTCCTCATGGCATCATTCAAGGTCATCTTAAGAAAGAGAAAGAAAAATAAAATGATACATTACAGAAATTCAGTGT